CAGCAGGAAGGGCTGAAAAAGGAGCTTTCAGAAAATGATTGTTGGAATATTTACCTCAGTTGAACTGTTAACTCTGAAGCCTAATACAAATAAAATGTCAATATTACATGGATTTTAACACAAACATCCCCTTTCTGTGTTCTTGGTGGAGTTGGGGATGTGAACAACAAACGTCTTCCCACCGACACCTCTTCACCCTTTAGCTTTAGTCACTGGGTTTCTTTTGAGTTTTGTTTATCAGCAAAATTTTGTTGGTCAGTTGATAGCTGGATATTTCTTGAGTGTTACTGTGCCTCCAGCGCTAGCCCTGCCTTGACAGCAGTTCTGCTGGGTGAGCTCTTCCCAGCCTGGAAGAGATGTCAGAAGTGATCTTTGCTGGGACCCATCTCTCACTCAAGTGAGCCACAGATAACCAGTGTGCTGGGAATCTCAATGTAAAGTAAGCAAAGACACTTAACAGAGCTGGCTCCTTGATGTGGTTCAGGAGCAAACAGGGATCCTGGGTGTCTGATAAGGCTGGAGATGCGATCTACAAGCACTAATCCTTTCAGTCTTGGTTTTGGTCTGACCTGGATAAAGGAAACTAGATGCCTTGGCAGGTATTACTTTTATTTCTTGGCCAAAAGACTGCAGTTCCACTTGGGAAATTCACTGACCAGAAATTGAGAAATGGATCAAAGAGGCCTTTGCCTTTGTGTTCCTTGGTGCTACCCTGCTGCTGGACAGGGTTTTGCAACCAGAGGGATGGGAGCTGGGGGAATGTCCCAATGCAGGTGGCACTTGCTGGTATTGGGATACGCTGTTGGAGAAGCTGGGATCTTCCTTGGTGCCCTGCAGCTCCAGACCCTGCAGGATGACTTACATGGGCAGTGTGTTCCTATAGGGATTGAAGTGTGTCAAGTAAAACCCTTTGGAGTTCAGGGCTGTTGGTGTGACTCATACAAAAGCATGTCAAGACTGTTCCTTGCTCGCTGGAAACTTGGTGTGAAACGTTTCCCTTCTTGTTTCCCTTTTAGTGCCACCAACCATCAGTGTCCCTAAGGGTCAGTCCACCATCACCGTCCGGGAGGGCTCCAGGGCTGAGCTGCAGTGTGAGGTTCGAGGGAAGCCCAAGCCACCCATCATCTGGTCCCGGGTAGATAAGGAAACCCCCATGCCTTCAGGGACAATGACGATGGAGACATACGACGGGAAGCTGCGCCTGGAGAGTGTGAGCCGAGAAATGAGCGGGACCTATAAGTGTCAGACAGCCAGGTACAATGGCTTTAACATCAGACCCCGGGAAGCCCTGGTGCAGCTCAATGTGCAGTGTGAGTATAGCCATACAGCACTGGAGTACCTGTCTGAATGCCTGTGTCCACAAAAGCCTGTGGGCTAAGCAGGGCTGATACACTCACTGCTGATTTCAAGGAGAGTTGATCTTTCTTACTGGGCTGAGCAGAGACATCTCTTTAGTCTGGGGACCTTTGAACAGTTTGTATTGATTGGCTTGGCTACACAAGCCTAAGGGTAGGATACCGTATAGCCAGCGTGTTGCACGTGGAAAGGAGAGGTGTTGTGTGTGTTTGTATACAATGCTTTCCATTTCCCTACCAGTGGATGAGCGTGGAGCAGCAGCTGGACCAGGTGTGTGTTTGTGTGCATTACACATGTGTAAAATACCTTCAGGGTACATTAGTAAGATTGTAAGGTCAAGCGCTCAAAAGATAGCAAATTAATGTTAATTACACCATTTCCACCCCACAACCCTTTCTTCAACTTAGTTACCCCAGTTGTCATTTCTCAAATGCCTGAACCATTTTGCCTGAAAAGCAGCGCTATGCAGACCCTAATGCTGACTGCCAAATCCCAAATGGTTTCCATGCGGTAAAGCTGTGAGTAAGAGAAAACTGATTCTTAGCATGTGGTGTACTGAGTGATTTCAGCGATGAGTGACGCTCCCAGCCCTATTTGAAGACGATATCTGTGCATAAAGGCACATGTAGAGAGAGAGATGCTGCTGGTGTCCGCATTGGCTGACTGTCTCCATCCTTTCCCTGCAGCAGTTTCTCGCTCCAGAGAAGTGAGTGCCTGCTCCGCTCCCATGCTGTTGCGGTGTGTTTTGACATGCGGGGGTCTGTGCTCTGTCTTTCAAGACTTTGAATTGGGGGAAGGTAGCTGGGAAAAATGCCTTGGTCTGGAAGGAGCTGCGACTGCAGGAGTAGCCCTCCCTGCAGACCTTGTCCCATCGGGACATAGTGCGATCGCTGAACGCCCGCAGAGTCCTCTGAGCAGCGCGGATCTGGCAGGTGTGGGATGGGTAGGGAGCAGGTTAATTTGCACCCGGGCACGCTGTCTCTGGGCTGTGACTGACGAGCCTCCATGCACAGCAGAGCAGCACTCATTAGACACGCTCCCACTTTCCTCCTGGGCTCGCTCCCCGGGAAGAAAAGTGAGACCAGAGCAGATAACCTGGCTGAAGCCAACCAGATACACTGCTGACAGATGTGAGCTGTTGGGAGCACAGCAGTAATGGAGGTGTGCCAAATCCTGCAGGCAGTTTGAGTATTTGAAGATTCCCTTTTAAAATTATTTCCATCCGTTCAGGAGCATGACAGGAATTATATTGCAGGGTGGGGACAGGGAAACGTGTGCAGATTTCCATGCAGGTAAATATGTGTGTAAGCAGCTTGGAAATGTGTGTCAGTTTAAGCTGTTTTGGAAGGCAGGCAGAGTCAGGCATATGGAGTATGGCAGGGACTCTTGGTTACCCCAAGAACCAAAGGGAGATGCAACAAAATCTCACTCTTGAGTAAAGAACCACCAGACCTGCTGGTGTCCCCAGCCTGGTGTTGGTGTTTGAAAGCTGTGTGGTCCTCACTGACCCTCATTGCCCCTGCAGAGGGAGCAGCAGTGCTGAGCCTGGGATGAGTTCAGGCTTACTAGGTGATCTGGAGCAGAATCACAGCCCTGAATCTTGGGCTGGAGGGAAGGACATGACTCTCCATGCAAGAAGGATGGTAGGTAGAAGCCAGAAGCTGTTCTGGGACAGAGCCCTTGATGTGACACCCAAGAGGGCAAAGATGTGATGAACTTCTGTGTAAAGACAAACTCAACATACTCTTCCTATAGCTCTTCCCAAGGCCAAGCAATGCTTTATTGCGATCTCACCCAAGTAATGGTGGCATAGTCCATGCAGTAGCCCACCCAAACTGCCCTCTTCCCTTCTCCATCAGTTCTGTGTACCCTTAGTTGGAGCTGGGTGCGTACTGAGTGTTTGTTGGACTGAGCTGCCACCTCCTGCCTCGAAACTGTGGAAGGAGCTTACAGTGGCACTGCTTGTTCTGTGCCTGTGGTGGGTTGGCCCTGGCTGGATGCCAGGTGCCCACCAAAGCCGCCCTATCACTCCCCTTCTCAGCTGGGCAGGGGAGAGAAAATATAATGAAAGGCTCGTGGGTTGAGATAAGGACAGGGAGAGATCACTCACCAATTACTGTCATGGGCAAAACAGACTCAACTTGGGGGAAATTTAGTCTAATTTATTGCCAGTCAAAATCAGAGTAGGCTAATGAGAAGACCAAATCTTAAAACATCTTCCCCCCACCCCTCCCTTCTTGGGCTCAACTTCACGCTTGATTTTCTCCACCTCTGCGCCCCGAGTGGTGCAGGGGGACAGGGAATGGGGGTTGTGGTCAGTTCATCACACGTTGTCTCTGCCGCTCCTTCCCCCTCAGGGGGAGGAGGAGTCACACTCTTCCCCTGCTCCAGTGTGGGCTCCCTCCCATGGGAGACAGTTCTCCATGAACTTCTCCAACGTGGGTCCTTCCCACAGGCTGCAGTTCTTCATGAACTGCTCCAGCCTGGGTCCCTCCCATGGGGTGCCATCCTTCGGGAACAGGTTGCTCCAGCCTGGGTCCCCCATGGGGTCACAAGTCCTGCCTGCAAGCCTGCTCCCGCCTCGGCCACAGGTCCTGCCAGGAGCCTGCTCCAGCATGGGCTTCCCACGGGGTCACAGTCTCCTTTGGGCATCCCCCTGCTCCAGTGTGGGGCCCTCTCCGGGCTGCAGGTGGAGATCTGCTCCCCCGTGGAGCTCCATGGCTGCAGGGGCACAGCCAGCTTCACCAGGGGTTGCTGGGGAACCTCTGCTCCGGCGCCTGGAGCCCCTCCTGCCCCTCCTGCTGCCCTGGCCGGGGGGTCTGCAGGGCTGTTTCACATATTCTCACTCCTCTCTCTGCCTGCAACTGCTGTGTGCCATTTCCACCCCCCTCCTTCTTAAATATGTGATCCCAGAGGCACTGCCACTGTCGCTGATGGGCTCGGCCTTGGCCAGCAGCGATG